GCATGCGCCAGCACTGCGCCTGCTTTTGACCTGTGCTCTGAGGCTCCAAACTCAGGTCTTTGTTTGTATGTGGTAGGCACTCAGCCCATGAGCCATCGCTCCAGCTGCTTGGCCCTTGGTTCTTATTCGAAGGATTTTGTTTTGTAGCAGACTGGCTGAGAATTCGCCATCCTCCTGCCTCTAACCTCCCTAGTGCTGGCATCACAGGGGCGCCACCACACCTGCCCTCCACTCTTTGTATAAGATATTACTTACTTTAATTGTGTGTTTATGTTAGGTGTATACATGTGTGTGTGTGTGTGTGTGTGCGTGCGCACATGCAGGCAGGCACTTGTTTGTGGAGGCCAGAGGTTGACATTGTCTTCCTCTGTGTGAATGTATGTGTAGGTCAGCAAGCTCCAGGGATCCGCCTGATTTAATTCCTTGCGCTTGCATGACCGGCACGTGCTGCTGCTTCACCTGGCTTTTTTTTTTTTTTTAATGGGGTTTCTGGGGCACAAACCTTGGCTCTCATGTTGCCAGACAAGCACTTTGCTACAGACCGAGTCCTCTCCCTGGCGCTTTATGTGTGGAGATGATTGCTAGGAGTGAATTTGGGTCCCAAAAGCCAGGCCAGCACTCTTCAGCCAAGCCACGCCCCCCCTGGCCCCTCACTGGGGGATTCTAGGCAGGGATAACCGCAATGCAGCCCAGGTATCCTGCGGTCTCACATCTGTAGGTGGACGTTCCCCTATGAGTGCTCCCTCCTGGCCTCCTGACTCCATTTTGTTGGCGTTTGATACAAGTCCAGTTTCTCAGATACCTGCTTGTTTCTGAGACTTCTGAGACGTGGTTTTTGCTGTGTCCTTCAGGCTTGCTTCAAATCCTTGTTGATCTGAAGTGCTGGGATGCCAGGCTTGCCTTGTCATCCAGCCAGGGACTCCCCTTTTATACTAACAGCTTTCCCTGAGGCTGCCTCCAGGGAAGGAGGGAGAATTCCAGGCCGTGTCAGCACCTGACCTGCTGCAAATCTCTTGAGCAATTCTTCCATTGACCTTCCTGCTTCCCATCCAAGGAGAGCCACAGCACAATGCAAACTACACCAGCAGGGTAAATTCCTCTGCTGGGCCGATTGTTTTCTTTGACCCCCAGAGGATTTGGCTAAGTTTCAGGTCAGAAAGGGTTTGTTTCCCTAAATGAGCTCTCATTTGCTTGGTTCAGGATGTGATCCCGATTCCCATGATGCTCCCTGCCAGGCTCAGCAGGTGCACCCACCTAAGAATGTAGAGGCCACTGTGGCTCAAACCTGTTACCTAAGCCCGAGGGTCAAAAGTTCAAGACCAGCTTAGCATCAGGGCAAGAGTTTTCTCGGATAAACAGGAAGCTGGAGTGGGGCTCACTTGCCTGACGCGCTGATGAGAGAGAGGGAGGGAGTGAGAGATTTTTCAAAGATCCTTTTAGCTTTAGATGTCTAATCCTTTATGCCCCAGTCACCTCATCTGTGAAGAAGGGATAAAGATAGCACCAAGTTCACTGTGACAGGAAATCTACCCACACACTTAAGAATATGTCAGTGAAGTCCATTATCACGCAGTTAATATTTACTGGTAGAAATACTTAAGCGTGGATCAACACCTCCTAAGCTCCTAGCTGGTGACTGGAACTCTTCAGTCAGCTTCCTGTCACTTTGAGGGAACATGTGACATCATCAACTTAAAGGAGAGGTGCCAAGTGGTGGCAGCACACACCTTTAATCTCAGCACACAGGAGGCAGATCTCTGTGAATTCAAAGCCAGCCTGGTCTGCAGAGCAACTTCCAGAACAGCCGGGACTACACAGAGAAGCCTTGTCTTGAAAAACAAGCAAACAAACAAGAGTTTAAGGTGAAGGATGGAGAGATGCTCAGTGCTTAAAAGCCCTTGTTGCTCTTCAGAGGACCTGGGTTTGGTTCCCAGCACCCACAAGATGGCTCACAATAGTTCATAACCCCAATTCCAAGGGGTCTGCCTTCCTTTTCTGATCTCCAAGGCACCAGGCACACATATGGTGCACAGACATACATGCAGACAAAACACTTGGACATGTAAAATAAAATACATTTTTTTCAGAGATCTGCCTGTCTCTGCCTCCTGCATGCTGGGATTAAAGGTGTGTGCTACCACTGCCTGGCCTATAAAATAAATCTTAAAAAAGCCTCTGGCTGGTGGTAGGATACGCCTTTAATCCCAGCACTGGGAAGACAGAGACAGGTGGATTTCTGTGAATTAGAAGCTACTCTTATTCCAGAATATCCAGGTCTACACAGTGAAACTCTGTCCCCCCAAAAACCAAAGCAAAACAAAACAAAAGGCCATGGGAGAGTTGGGGATCCTCAGTGGATACAGTTACATCCTTGCACCTAAGGCCTAGGTAACATTTCAGAAGAGGAGAGGTGAAGGCTGTACAGACCAGAGGAGCAGGGAGTTTGCTGTGAGACTGTCTGTGTCTTCTAGAAATATCAGGAGCTCCACCCATAATTCATCACCAACATGGTGACCTACATGTGAACTAAACAAGGACAACACCAATAGACATTTCAAAGTAGACAGAGAAAAGCCCACAAGGCCTCAGTTGTACACAAAGAACGTCAGCCAAATGAAGAACTCTGAGCTGGAGAAATAGTCTTCTCCAGGGAAGAGAGCGCCATTTGGTTATCCCGTGCCAAGTGGTTGGCCCTGAAAACATACAAGAAACATTATACAGACTGGGCAGGTGTCCTGAGGTGCATGTATGGACACACACACACACACACACACACACACACACACACACACACACATCTGTGTCTGTGACAATGGATAATAAGAAATGAGCCATGAATTTGAAAGAGGGTAAGGAGGGATATATGGGAGGATTTGAGGGAGGAAAGGGAAGGGAGAAATGTAATTATATTACAATCTCAAAAATAAAAGAAAACTCAAAAAATAAAAAAATAAAATAAAGGTGGTGGTGTACACCTTTAATCTCAGCACTTGGGAGGAAGAGGCAGGCAGGTCTCAGGGTTTCAGGTCAACCTGGTCTACATCGTGAGTTCCAGGACAGCCAGGGCTACCTGTCTCAAAAATAAGTTAATTAATTAATTAATTACGAGATAAATAGAGGAGGGAAGGGAAGGAGGGAGAGGGGGAGGAAAGAAGGAAAACAAAAAGAGCAACAAAGGAAGCATCCAAAAGCGGTCTCAGCTCTGTGCCCAGCTGGAGCCGGGGCCCCAGGAGACTTCCTCGTGTTTTCAGCAGAGAACTACGGACAGACAAAGTTAATAAACCAGAGTTTCAAAGTTATCCTCGGCTACATGGAGTTTGAGGACAGCCAGGGCTACAAGAAATCTGTCTTAAAGAGAAGGTAAGAAGGGAGAAGAGAAAAATGGGGAGGGAGGAGAGAAGAGAGGACTCGGAGTAAGTGGGGACATGGAGCCCTCAACCAACGTGTGCCAGCGCAACATGGCACAAAACAGTGTTTGAAGATACTGTTGCCCGCGCACCTGGCACGAAGGGACAGTTTGGAGGGCCTTACCCAGTGGGGAAGCAGGCTCCTGCACCTTAGGGACGCGGGTGCAGAGAAGCGGCAATTGTTTTCTATGGGCGTAGCGCCCCCTAGTGACCACCGAGGGACAGCTTCAGAATTCCACCCTCGCCGCTGCTCCATCAGGCCAGTGTAATTTTGCAGTTCAAGGAAATCCTTTAAGCTCAAAATCCTGCGGATTCAACAGCGATCAGTGGCTCAGAATTCTTTGTGGAAGAGAGAAACACATCCCTCCACCTGCCGCGCGGGGGAAGCAGGGCACTGTAAATCTTCAGAGGTGGTTCAAAGGAAGCCAGCTGTGGGGGTGCATGCCTGTAACCACAGCACTCAGGAGGCACAGGCAGGTGGGTTTCTGTGAGTTCGAGGCCAGCCTGGTCTACATAGCAAGTAAAAAAAAAAAAAAAAGAAAAAAGAAAAAAGAAAGAAAGAAAAGTACAAGATTATTTTCAGCTGCCTACTTAGTTTGAGGTTAACCTGGGTTCAGGCAGTAGAATGCCTGCCTTGCAACATTGAGGACCTCAGAAAATACATAAAAAAGCCAGACAAGATACTCAGTGGATAAATGTATTTGCCATTAACCCTGACGACCAGCACCCACATTGTGTGGCTCACAGCCATATATAACTCCAGTCTCAGGGGCCTTCTGGCCTCTATAGGCTCTGCACACACATGGAGCACAGGCAAAACTTTCATACACAAAATACAGGTAAATATACATGTATGTATATTCACACACACAGATATATATATTTAAAAGCTAAAATTTTCATTAAATTAAAAACCAACAAAACAAGATGTATGACCTCAAAGCCCCTTTCTTATTAATTCCACCCTGGTTTAACGAGCACCTACGGGGCCAGGATTTAGGGGCAGTGGATGTCAGTCATTCAAATGATAAGTACTGGATGAGCACTTTGCTTGGGAGTCCAGGTGGCCCTGGTGTCTTTGGTGGCATGTAGGAGGCTGATCTCCCCCAGGTCCTGTGTGGTCTGTTTGACAGCCAGGGAGGGCCGTGGGGGAGGGGCTGTTCTCCTGCTGTCCATCTCGCCCCAGCTCCCAACTGCTTGTTATGCTTTTTTATATCTTTATTTTTCTGTATGTGCGTGTGTGCCCATGTGAGTTGTCTGCCATGTGACTCAGGGGCCCACTGGGGCCAGAAGAGGGCATCCAGTCCCTTGGAGCTGGAGTTCCAGGCAGTTGGGGGCCACTGGAGTAGGTGCATCTGACCCTTGTGGGGTGTTTGTGCTGGGACTGAAGGTGGGTGCCACCGAGTCCAGCCAGCTTCCTATTGTGATGTGATGAAGGTTGAGGGTTGAGCCAAGCATCCCAGGGAAGTCACCAGGCAGTCAGGAAACAGAGCTAGTCACTTGAGTGTCCCTTGGTGACATGTGGGACTCAGCAGCCCAGAGGTTTACGGAAGAGGCTGACTTAAGTATCCAGAGCACCCAGGTCTGCCCGTCATGGCTGAAATACACACGCCATATCCTTTCTTGAAGAAACTGTTGTCTTTATTCAATGGCTTTACGGCTGTAAGTATGTCACAATCCAGGCCCTGGAGACTTGGCAGCCTTCCCTTCATAGCCCTCTCCCTGGAAGACAGAAATAAGTTGATCTAAATTGCCTTCTGGATCTGTGCTCCCGGAGGAAGGCTGGAGGGGGTAGGAGATATAGGGCAGGTTGGTGAGGACTGAGAGGAGTTGGAAATAATCGTGTAGGAGGCACCGTGGGAGCTGAAGCTTGGGATATCAGCACAAATGTACACAGTTTGGGGAGCCTGGATCAGGGATGGAAAGGAGTTTGAAAGGCTGGGGACGTGGGTAGAGAACCTGCCGAGCTTGCATGGGGCCCTGTGTTCTATTCCTAGCACAACATAGACCAGACACAGAGGCACACACGTGCTCAGAGATCCTCACCAACCTGAGCTACGAGAGATGTTGTCTCCAAAGCAAAATGAGAACAAACCAATTATACATCAGGAAAATGACTAAGTCTGAAAAAGTAGAATAGTGTGATGTTTTGTCTGTTTGACACAAGCTGGGGGCATCTGGGAAGAAGGTGCCTCAGTTGAAGAATTGCCTTCCTCAAATTGGCCTGTGGGGAGGTCTGGGGAGGTATTTTCTTGGTCAGTGACTGACCTGGGAGGGCCCAGCCCAACCCACTGAGGGTGGAGTCATCCCGGAGCAGGTGATCCTGGCACTGTGAGAAAGCAGGCTGAGCAGGCTTCAGAGAGAGCAGCCAGTCATGGCATCTGCTTCAGCTCCTGCCTCTGGGTTCCAGAGCCTTGGCTTCCGTCAGGGATGAACTGTCAGCTGTAAGTGGACATAAACCCTTCCTTCCCCAAGTTGTTTTTGGTCACATTATCCCAGTAAAATTGGACAGATAGTTCTTTTGTTTTAAGATTTGCTTTATCGTTCTAATCATGTGTATGTGTATCTAGGTGCAGCCGTCCTCTGCAGCTGGAGTTACAGGTGGCTATAAACCATCCTCACGTGAATGCTGGGAACGACTCCTGTCCTCTGCAAGAGCTGTAATCCTCCGAGCTGGCTCTCTAGCCCCTCCCCTTTTTTCTTCCTTCATATAGTCTTTTTTTTTAAGATTTATTTATTTATTAAGCATACAATGTACTGCTGGCAAGGAAGGTACCAGGTCTCATTACAGATGGTTCTGAGCCACCATGTGGTTGCTGGGAATTGAACTCGGGACCTCTGGAAGAACAGCCAGTGCTCTTAACCTCTGAGCCATCTCTCCAGCCCCCTCATATAGTCTTTTGAAGATTTGGTTTTCTTTTCATTACATGTCTGTGTGTAAGTATGTGTACCTGTGTTCCATCCTGGAGAGGTACGAGGAGTATCACGTAGTGTCTCAGACCCTGGATCTGGACCTGAACTTACAGGTGGCCTCCATGAGGGCGAAGGGAACTGGACCCAGGTTCTCTGCAAGAGCAGAAAGTGCTCTCGGCTGCTGAGCCTGCTCTCCAGCCCCCCCCTTTTTCTCTTCTTAAGAAAATGCTTTTCTTCCCATGAAGTCTTGGTGCCTCCTGCATTGATTGGTGTTTCCTCTATGCACACCGGCACTTGGCTATTTCCCTGACTGAGGCCGTGTACGAGTGGCCATAGCTCCTCTGGATGGGTGGGGTCTCTGAACCCTCTCTCGTCTGAGGAGAGATGTCATCAGCCCCTTTCACACAGCAGCCCCTGTGCTGACCCAGGCTCACGGGGGCAATAGCAGCAGCATGTCAGAAGACTGCCCTTGTGGGCCTCCTCCCCATCCTCCAGCTCCTCTGTTCTCCCCCCCTTCCTCCTGTGATGTTCCTGAAGAACAAGTGACACAGATGTCCTGTTAGAGCTGAGTGCTCCCTTATACTCAGCTCCTGACCAATCGTGAGCCCCTGCACTCCCCGCTTGCCTCCTACAGACCAAAGCAGAGGCAGCATTAACCTATGGATAGAAACATCATTTTCAGAAGGCAGCTTGGCGCCACGCCCAACCAACAAAGCAACAGTAGTTTCTGTCCCCCTCCTCAGGGCCTGTGTGTGACCTCCCCAGCCCTGGCTGGCCTGAGTCTTGCTGTGGCTCCTCACCAAGGATCCAACTACTTCTGCCTCCAGAGTTTGGGGGTTGAAGGTGTGCAGGAGCCAGCAGGCCTTGTCTGGCTCATTTCCCACAAGGGCATCAAATGTCCTCTTCCCAACTCTATGTAAGCAAGTTACAGGGCAGTCAAGGCCGTCTAGTGAGACCTGGTTTAAAAAAGAAGACGAAGAAAGAAAGAAGAGAAAAATGAAAAAGAAAAATCAACCTGGACTCTCAAGAAAACGATATAGCCAGGTGGGTCATTCACCTCTACTTCCAGCACCCAAGAGACAGTAACTGGCGGATCTCTGAGCTCGAGGCCAACCTGGCCTACAGAACAAGTTCCAGCACATCCAGAACTGCACAGAGAAACCTTGTTGCAACAAACAAGCAAACAAACAAACAAAAAAGAAAATAACAAATCCAATGTTCTTTGGCAAGGCAAAAGTTTTACCCCTGGAGAAGGGTGCAAGGCCTTGATTAGGACACAGCCTGGTTTTTAAGATTCCGAACACCATGCCTCTCTCAGTGGTCAGAGCCAGGCCTTGCATCCTTAGGAGAGTGTCTGGTACAGAGCAGCAAGGTGTCTATGGAGACGTGAAAGTTGAGTATATATTTTGATTTCCCAGAAGTGCTGACCCTAGAGGAATTCAAATTTTCTGCCAAATGGCTTCTTTACAGTTCCCGCCCCCAGCAGAGGTGGGATTTGTCTTCTTATTTAACCCTTTGATAGGAAAGATGGTACCTTTTGTTTACGCTTCTTAAGCCCTGGAGCTGGAGTTAGAGGCGGCATGAGCTACCAAGTGGGTGCTGGGAACTGAACTCAGTCCTCTGAAGGGCAGTGTGTGCTCAGAACTGCTGAGGGTCTCTGCAGCCCTGGGTGGTCTTTCTTGCTGGTTAGTTCGTGTGCTGAGGATGAAGCCAGGCCTGCAGGCATGCTAAGCACACGGTCCCTGAGCTGCACGTGTGCTCACCGAACTGTACCCGCCTTCGCGGTTTTTTTGATCTATTAAGTTTTCTTGAAGCACCTTTCCCTGGCTATCAGGGGAACACGGAGTATGCTCTTTGCTTTTGCTTTTGTTTCATGTATGGTTTCTGAGGCAGAATCTTACTGTGCAGCCCTGTGGTTGGCCTGGAACTCACTGTGTAGCCGAAGATGACCTTGAACTCCTGACTTTCCTGGCTGCAGCAGTGCCTTCTGCAGTCGCAGACCTTGAGAGGCTGACAGGAGGACCGGCAGAAGATCGAAGCCAGCCTGGGCTACACTAGACTCTGTCCTAGAAACAAGCGAGCAAACACACCAGGTCTAGTGAGATGTCTTAGTGGGAGACGCACCTGCCGTCCAGCCTGACCCTCAGCGTTCCATCCCTGGGACCCACAGGTGAAAGAGGAACTTGACTCCGGCAAGCTGTCCTTTTACCACCACAGGTGCTCATGCACATATAATAAACATAATAAACAAGACACAAACCAAAATTTTAAAATATCTTTCTGCATCGGCTGGCATGTGTGTGTGTGAGTGTCCCCTTTGTGCGGCCTGAGGAGGACACGGGGTGTCCTCTGCCACTCTCCACCTTATTCTCTCTAGGCAGGGGCTCTCTCTGAGCTAGAGCTAGGCTGGTGGTCTGCAGGTCCTGCGATCCTCCTGTCTCTGTCCCCTCCTCCCAGGCCTGAGGATGCACACGGGCAGCAGGGCCTGGATTTTATGTGGGTGCTGGAAATCTGAACTTGGTTTCATGATTGTGCAGCAAGCACTCTGACCCCCTGAGCCAGCTCCCCAGCCCTGTCCTGCACCTTTAACACAATGTCCTCCCGCCGTGTGTTCGCGTTTGTATGTGTGTGCGCGTTTGTATGTGTGTGCGCATTTGTGTGTGTGCGTTTGTGTGTGCACATTTGTGTGTGTGCCTTTGTGTGTGTGTGCCTTTGTGTGTGTGTGCTTTTGTATGTGTGTGCACGTTAGTATGTGTATGTGCGTTTGTATGTGTGTGTGTGCGCATTTCTTCTTTCTCAATTTTGTTCATCTCTGTCACACTCCCTTTCCCGCTTTCGTCTTCACTTTCCTCCTGTGCTTTCCTAATCTTCCTTATTTTTATTTCAGTTTACTGGGGCATGGGGCAGAAGGAAGTGTCAGCTGTCCTCCATCATTGCCCTTTGAAGCAGGTCAGATCTCTCCCTGAACCTGGAGGTGGTGTCTCAGCTTGGCTGGCAGCCAGCAAAACCCCAGTGAGCTCCCTGTCTCCACCCCATTCAGAGGTAGGGTTCCAGGCTTTCAGAGGGGTACCTCAGTTGTTAAGTAGGCACTAGAATCTGAACTCTGGAGCTCATGATTGTGGAGAAGCCCTCGTAGTCACTTAGCCACCTCTGCATCACTTCTTTCCTTCAGTGTGTGTGTGAGAGAGTGTGTGCGTGCATGTGTGTGTGTGTGTGTGTGTGTGTGTGTGTGTGCATGCTTGCACCTGCAGAGGTCAGAAGAGGGGACAGATCCTCTGGAGCTGGAGTTACAGGCAGTTGTGAACTGTCTAGTGTGGGTGCTGGGAACTGAACTCAAGTCCTCTATAAGAACAGCAAATGTTCTTAACTGCTAAGCCATCTTTACAGCCCCATGTCCTCTTCCCGTAAAAATACATTAACTGAGCATGGTGGGGTACTCCTTGCTTGGGAGGCAGAGGCAGGCGGATCTCTGAGTTTGAGACCAGCCTGCTCTACAGAGTGAGTTCCAGGACAGCCAGGGCTACACAGAGAAACCTTGTCTGGGGGGATGGCAGGAGAGGAAGTGCAAGGTTAGTCTACATAATGAGCAACTGTAGACTACAGAATAAAACAATATACAAAACGTCACTATAGCAAACACGCTGCTGCTCGGAAAGATGGTTGCAACTATTTCATTAGGCAAAAATCTAAAAGTGTTATTTCTAAAATAGAATTTTACCTCAAAAAGTAAAATCTGGGGCTGGAGGGATGCATCCTCTCAGAGCTTCAGGTGCTGTTCCTTAGGACCTGGGTTTGCTTCCAGCACCCACACAACAGCTCCCAATCGCTTCTTCACTTCCAGGGATCCAGCACACTCCTGGCGTCCTCGAGAATCAGACATGCACAGGGTGCACATGCGTATACACAAGCAAAATCCATGCATAGAAAATAAAAATACATGTAAAAATAAAAAGTCAGCCACAGTGGCACATGGTTTTAATTGCAGTACTTAGGAGGCAGAGGCAGGCGGATCTCCGTAAGTTCAAGGCCAGCCTTATTATTATTATATTGAATTCCAGATTAACAAGAGATGGATACAAGTGAAACCCTCTAAAAACAGAAACAAAACAAAACAAAACAAACAAACAAAAGAAAAACAGAGATCCGCCTGTCTCTGCCTCCTGAGTGCTGGGATTAAGGTCTCTGCCTCCTGAGTGCTGGGATTAAAGGTGTGCACCACCACCGCCATGCTAAAATTATTTTTAAACGTGTAATCTTTAGGGTTTTGTGTATGAATGGCATGGTGTCCTTCCTTTCTTCCACTCTTTTCTATCTTATGAGACGGGTTTCTTGTAGCCCAGGCCAGATGCTAATCCACTATGTAGCCAAGGATGACTTAATTCCAGTCCTCAAACCTCCACATCTCAAGCACTGAAATCACAGGTGTGCACTGCTACGCTTTGTTCACTTGGTCCTGGCGATGGAACCCAGGGCTCTGTGTGCTTCATCAGCACTCTGCCAGCTGAGCCACACCCTCAACCCAACATGTTCTTTTTCTGGTTTTCTTTCTTTCTTTTGGTTTTCCAAGACATTCCTGGCTGTCCTATGACTTACTCTGTAGACGAGGCTGACCTCGAACTCACAAAGATCCATCTGTCTCTGTCTCCTGAGTGCTGGGATTAAAGGCATGTGCCACGGCTGCCCAGCTGTTTTCTGTTTTGTTTTTTTGTTTTAAAGCTATGAGAATGTTTCCACATCACCACCAGCTCTGGATATTTCCCTGTTTAACATTTTTTGTTGGTTTTATTAGCCTCTGCTTTCCTCTGGCCCCACCCAGGAAGACTCCCAATTTTACCACCCAACCTCCTTCTGCTTTGGTGTCTGTTCTCAAGGTGTCTGGCACGGTCCTCGTTGGCCTGGCTCTTGGGGTCATGTAGCAAAAGGTTGCACTGACGAAGGTCCTCGGGATGCCCTCTGCCTACCTCTGTCTCTCTGGTTATGTGAGCCTGGGAATGGATGCATCACCTTAGTGCTCAGCCTCGCTGGGTGGTATGGAGTGACCGCAGAAAGCAGAGGCAGGCTCCTGACTGTAAGTAGTCCGTACCTGGGCACCGCACAGCCCTGCCGTGTGTCCATCCTCACTGCAGGCTCCTGACTGTAAGTAGTCTGTACCTGGACACCACGCGGCCCTGCTGTGTGTCCATCCTCACTGCAGACTCTGACTGTAAGTAGTCTGTACCTGGACACCACGCGGCCCTGCCGTGTGTCCACCCTCACTGCAGACTCTGACTGTAAGTAGTCTGTACCTGGACACCACGCGGCCCTGCTGTGTGTCCACCCTCACTGCAGACTCTGACTGTAAGTAGTCTGTACCTGGACACCACGCGGCCCTGCCGTGTGTCCGTCCTCACTGCAGGCTTCCCATGCTCTCCCTCCACAGCCCCTGATTTAGTTGATATTCTATTTTCTTTGTTTTTCAAGACAGGGTGTCTCTGTATATCAGCTCTGGCTGTCCTGGAACTGAATTTGCAGACCAGGCTGGCCTCAGACTCACAGAGATCTACCTGCCTCTGCCTCCTGAATGCTGGGATTAAAGGTGTGCATTACTACCACCCGGCTTTGTATTTGTTTGTTTGTTTGGTTGGTTTTGGGAACAGGGTCTCAATAAGTAGCCCAAGAACACCTAAAACTCAAAGATCCTCCTGTGTCCACCTCTGGGGTAGTAAGAATAAAGGTGTTAGCTACCATACCTGGTTCATACCTGGCTTCTCCCCCCCCCCCCCTTTGAGCCAGGGTCTCATTTAGTCAGGCTGATCTTCTCTGGCTAAGAGGCAGAGAATGACTCTCATTCTCTTCCACTTTTCAAGTACAGGTTCCTGGCTTCTGTGTTTGATTTTGATACCAGTAAGGCGGGCCAGGAATGCCAGAGCTCTCCCATAGTCCTCTTTTCTTCATCAACCTTGTCCTCCATATGCACCTGTTTCGAGTTCTCCCCTCCATATGCCCCTGTTCCGAGTCCTCCCTTCCATATGCCCCTGTTCCGAGTCTTCCCTCAAACCTCTCAAGAGAAGGCTCCCACCTTGCAGCTCCCTCAAGCACCCCAGGCCAGCCTGTACCTGGATCTTTCTGCACCTTGGAAACCTCCCACCTCCACCCACGTCTGAGTTTTTTCAAACTGGAACCCAGTAGAATGGGGGTGGGACAGAGGACCAAACCTCTTCCCTCCTCAGCACCAGGTTTGTGGGATCTGCCAAGCAGGCTCCCAGCCCCGCCCTGTCCCTCTCTGTGTCCTCCAGTGTTTCCTGTTCCTGGTTATTGTCATTCTGGAAGTCATGATGGCATCCGTGCTGCTTGTAGTCTTCCCAATTGTAAGTACAGAATTTCTAAGTTGCAGAAAGAGACAGACGCCATCATAATTCTGGTCCCCAAAGGTGACCCCACTCCATGCCTTAACACCCAGGAACCCAGAGATGGGGGGGGACAGTGGGGTGGGGAAGGGAAAGCTGAGGACACCAGGAATTTGTCACTATCCCTCTTGTCTTCTGCAGGGAGACATGCAGTAACAGGCAAGGCAGGTACATTTGTAAGATGCCCAAAGATTAGGGGGATGGAGAGTCTTAGCCGGAAGGCCCTGTCTAGAATCCTCAGGGAGGGGCTTTAAAAAGTCATGTACTCTGGGAGGTGATGGTGGGATGTGCTCATGGGGAAAGGAAATGAGGGTCACTGGACCAGTCACAGAGTAGGACATCCAGCTAAAGGCCTGGAGAAGGGCTGGAGCTCAGCTCATAGACGGCCAGTCAGCATCCCCAGCACCCTGTGAACCAGGCATGGCGGTGTAGTCTGTGTCTCCGCCGCGGGGAGACCAAGACAGTAGAATCCCGGTGAGAGACCCTGTTTCATCCCAGGACTCAGATGGTGGAAGATGAGGACGGATGCCTTTAAGATGCTCTCTGGCCTCCATACACACATGCACACTCACACACGTAAAGATAAAGCAAACATAACCAAAACAAAACAGAAAACACAAGGTGGATGACACTTGGGGTTAGCCTCTGTCCTCCAGATGAATGCGGGCAAACACACACACACACACACACACACACACACACACACACACACACACACACGAGCATGCCTCTGGAGCCAGAAATCATGGCAAACACCTGTGACTGCAGAATCCAGGCAGCTGAGGCAGGAGGATGACGAGCTCCATCCAGCCTGGGCTCCTTGCCGAGAACTTACCTCAAATGACACAAAACGTGGATCTCACATGAGGGCTGTGTGCAGAGGCCATGGGATGACACACAGGGACACAAAGCACAGGACTGGTCACCCCGGTGCAGTTGGAGGTACCTTTTGTGGGGAGACTGGGGACACTGGTGGGAGGGGAAGTTCTTAGGGTTGACCCTCCAGACTCCGATCGCTTTGAAGATGCCATTGCTGTGGCAGGGATTTTTTTTTTTTTGAGACAGGGTCTTGGGCCCCCATGTGGCTGAGGATGACCCTGAGTTCCTGACATTTTTGTCCCCACCTCCCTGCTGGTGGAAGCAAGGTGCGTGGCACCACGCCCGGATTCTGTGGTGCTGGGATTGAACCCGGCGCTTCATGCGTGCTCAACAAGTGCTAACTAACTCAGCCACATCCTCAGCAACCCCAATATTTTAAAACCTTTATTTTAAAAATCAAAATTTGGAGGCTAGGCAAGGTGGCGCACACCTTTAATCCCAGCGCTTGGACGGCCGAGGCAGGTGGATCTGAGTATTTGAGGCCAGCCTGGTCTACCTAGTGAGTTCCAGTGCAGTCAGGGTTGGAGATTTACTGAGACTCTGTGTCAGTAAACAAACAAAATAGTATAAAAAAGCTAAATTTGTCCTTTATGTGTTCTAAGAGGAATTTGGTTGGTTAAAGTAATATTTAATATCTCTCTCTCTCTCTCTCTCTCTCTCTCTCTCTCTCTCTCTCTCTCTCTCTCTCTCTCTCATATAACCCAGTCTACTAGGTTCCAACTCACTGAGTAGCTAGGCTGACTATGAGCTCTGGACCCTTGTGCCTCCCCCTCCCCCTTCCCCTTCCTCCCTTCTTCCCCTTCCCCTTCTCTTCCCCTTCCTCCCCTTCCCCTCCCCCTCCTCTTCCCCCTCCTCCCCTTCCTCCCCCTTCTTCCCCCTTCTCCCCCCTTCTCCCCCCTTCTCCCCCCTTCTCCTCCTCCGTGCTGGGACAACCAGAGTGAGCACCAGGTGTGGTTGCCTAGGAATCAGTTTTTAATGGAGTTGCAGCCAAACTTGGAGGAAAGAGCAGCTAATTTGGGTTCCATGGTTACTCGGGTGGACCAGATGTGCCTTCCTGGGGACTCCTGCTCTGCTCTTCCCCAGCCAGTACCATGGCAGCCTGAATGAGTCAGTTCAAGCCCAGAACCACGAGGAAAAGGAGAGAAAGTGAGGTAGCCAAGGAAGCCCAACTTCTAGCTCCATGAACTAAATCTCAACAGTCCGGGCACTCGAGGTAGAAGTAGGAGGGTGGGAAGTTCATAGTCAGCTCTGGGTGCTTGGTGTATCTAAGGCTAGCCTGAGGTACGTGAGACCCTGTCTCAAAGAAAAGGAAGAACAAGGGAAAGGAGAGAGGGGAAGGGAGGGAGAGAGGGAGAAAAAAGGAGGGACTGGAGATGGGATGCTTTCTCCATCAGCGACTCACCCTGGCTGCGTCTGCTCCTGGTCTCTCCCGGGAGGCTCAGGATGTGGCCTTTGAGCACACCGCTCTGACCTGAGGAGGAATTACTGGTACAATGGGTCCAATGACTTCTCTACACAATGAACATTGCCATGGAGAAGGTGACTGCACCCTATAGCCGCTGAAACTGACGAGATGTGAAGCTGACCGTTTAAGAGGATGGAGCCAAGGGCCTCCCACACCTTAGACAAACAACTACTGAACTATTCCCCCAGGCACGCTTTAACTTTTTAAAAACGAGTCTCACGTAGCTAGCCTGGCCTTGAACTCATTACTACTCTCCAGTCCGGCCTTCTGAGTAGATGGTCGCAAGTGCCTGGCCAAGTTTGGTGGGCAGTCACCATGAGAGAAATGAACCCGTTAGAACTAGTTAGTTAGTTAGTTAGTTAGTTCTCTGTATTACCACACTGCTTGTCCAGAGTCAGACAACTGGCCGGGCTGTGGTGGCGCACGCCTTTAATCCCAGCACTTGGGAGGCAGAGGCAGGCGGATCTCTGTGAGTTCGAGACCAGCCTGGTCTACAAGAGCTAGTTCCAGGACAGGCTCCAAAACCACAGAGAAATCCTGTCTCGAAAAACCAAAAAAACAAAACAAAACAAAACAAAACAGAGTCAGACAACTGTGGATTGAAAAGATTGGAACAAAGCTGGCAAGATGACTCAGTAAGAAAAGGGCTTGCTGTGCACCCTGATGACCTGAGTTCAGGCCCTGGGGCCTGCATGGTGGAATAGAACAGACTCCTGATGTCCTCTGATCTATACACTGTGCTGTAGCAAAAAATCCCCAATAGTAATAATAAGTGAGAAATAAAAATAAAGAAAATGTAAACTGGATGCAGTGGGACTTGTCTTTAATCCCAGTACTTGGAAGGCAGAGGGCAGAGGCAGGTAGCTCTCTCTGTTTCAGACCAGCCTGGACTTCATGACCAGCTCCATACAGTCAGGGCTACACAGTGAGCTGCTGTCTCAAAACAAAACAAAACAAAATTGTATTTAAAAGGACTGATGCGGTGGATCACACCTGCAACCTCAGTACTCGGGAGTCTGAGGCAGGAGGAGGCTCGTCATGAGTTCAACTCCCGCCTGAGCTCAGATTGGGAGGTGACAGAGGCAACCTAGACAGGTCCTTATGAGGCCAGATTCTGCCCCATGATAACGGTGTCAGGGACATTTAACCAGAGCCCTGGGAGAAGAGTCTGGCCGCTCTGGGGTGACATTGACTTCTTTGATGCTGTTTTGTTTTTAAGGGGAGTCTTTAAATAATGTGCGTGAGCAAGTGTGTACGCGTGTGTGTGCCTGTGGAGGACAAGTGCATCAAGAGTCCCGCTCCGTCGCTCCCTGCATTGTTCCCGTGAGGCAGAGCTAGACTGGCAGCCGCAAGCCCCCGTGATTCCCCATCTCTGCCTCCCAGCTGTGGTTACAGGCACATGGAGCATGCCTGGCTTTTTACACGGACGTTGGGGATTCGAACTCAAGTCCTCAAGCTCGTGCAGCAAATACTCTTACCACTGAGTTATCTCCACAGCCTCACAGGGAGTCATGATGGCTCTTCCTTTCAGGAGACAACCGGCCACTCCTACCCTAGGGGCTGTTGTAAATCCACAGACACTCTGGACTGTGATGGGTATAATGTGTCCTTGGATGTCAACTCTCAGGGGGTAACTCAAGTGTTTTACTGCGTATCATCTTAGAGACCAAGGAGCTCACAGTTGTGGGGACGGTGACCAAGGGTCTGGGGGAGGAAGAGACAAAGTCTCAGCTTGTTCTGATCCCATCACTTTGGGTTAATAGAGCAGCCTGCTGATACCGTAACAAAACACCCGAGATTATGAACTGAAAAAGACGGAACAGTAACTGGTCAGGGTGACTCACACCTCTAATCCCCAGCACGGAAGAGACTGAGGCTGGGGATCACTGAGTCTGAGGGGTCAGGTGGGACTACACCGCAAGACCTAATTTAAAAAAACAAAAAGGAGGAAGGCTGGCGAGAAGCCTCAGTGGACACAGGCTTACCGTCAAGCTGGAGACAACCTGGGTTTGGTCCCTGGGACCCACTCAGAAGAGAGACAATTCTCCCAGGTTAACCTCTGACTTCCCATATGTAGGTCATGACATGTGCACCAGGACCGCGGCTTACAATACAATAACGAAGGGAAGAATTAAGGTGGAGAGATGGCTCGGTGGTTAAGAGCTGGGCTCGAGTCCCAGCACCCACATGGCGGCATAAAACTGGCCATCATTCCAGTTCCAAAGAATCAGACACCTTCTGTAGGCACCAGGGACCCACATGCTACACAAAGAGAGAGACTGAGGCCACCTGAGTGAGGACAATCAAGGGTCCCATTCTTGTTAGCGTTCAGGGCTTCCTTTCCTGGGATCTGAGAGAAAAGGGGGTTTGATTGCTAGGGGTTCAGCACTGGCGGCTCCCAGTTTGGATGGACAGGACTGGGTTAAAGGATCTCGGCTCTGCTGTCCTCACCCTGCCCTACGAGACATCTGACTGTGCACACCCTACCATGCACATGTATAAGGTGATGAATAGGGGGTCTACCTGAAAGTTTACTTGAGGCCACAGTCCACCTTTCTGCACAGGAAACACAACCAGTCCAGGCTGGATTGACCGCTTAAGCTCACACCCAGATACACTGAGATTCACTTGAACAGAAACTCTGATGGGCCGGGTGGTGGTGGTGCACGCCTTGAGTCCCAGCACTCGGGGGTGGGGTGGGGGGGGGAGGGGCGGGTGTTGGTGCTCAGTGGGTTCC